ATTTTGCGTGGGCTTCAGACAAAGACATTCCTGAACTGTATGGTCAGCAAGACTTAAGCGTTTAACATTTCCAAATTCCTACCTCACCTGGGAGCCAGTCAGGAACTGGCACAAGGCTGCATATCCTAATAAGGAACCTTAGCTGCTAACCCGGAAACCTCAGGGTATATAGCCCCGAGTCCCGCCCGGGTCAGGGCTCAGCCTCTGGATGTGAATCCGCTGAGCCAGTGCCGGCATTAGTAAAAGTTGCTTCCCATGCCTTGGTGTCCTCTTTGTCTGGGTTCCCCACAATGTAAGTTCTTTGAGGGTAGCATTTACCTAATCCTCTCTAGTATGTACAACATAGTGGGTACTCACATATTTGAGTATTAGTAATGAGAATACAGGTTCAGAATAAGGTCATTACCAATTTAAAATTAGTATTCTAATATTCGATCATGAACTATGAATTTAAAAGGCTTAAATTTGGGGCAGCCGGTTAGCTCAGTTGGTTAGAGCACAGTGCTCATAACACCAAGGTTGCCCATTCAGTCCCCACACCCTCCACAACTAGATTGAAACAACTACTTGACTTGGAGTTGATGGGTCCTGGAAAAACATACTGCTCCCCAATTTAAAAAAAAGACTTAAATTTTTCATTAAATGTAAAATTGTTTAAAGTTGATGTTACTGCCTTGTCATCATTGAAATAAATTGTTCCCTATTTAGCTTTATATTTGAAACATCCACACTTAGACATGATAGTATAATGAACCTTCATGTATCCATTGCCCAGTTCAGACAGCTATCTATCCATGGCCAATCGTGTTTCTTAAATTAGGACCCCAATAAATATACCCCATTTATTTATAGCGAACTATAGCAAAGTTGTGGATTCGTGCCTAAAGCACTTCAAGTAATGCAAGTTTTATGTATGCTTGTTTTTCCATTTGGGACAAGTTATATTAACATGTTTTTTAATATTTGATATAACAGATCAACCCTTTGATGTCAGATGTGACACATAAATCTAATAGTATTGATTGAAAATAAAAATTTTGAATTGGAAATTAATTTGGTGTGTTGACAGAGGTAGAATTCCTATTTTGGGTACATCCCTGCTGATCTGTCTGTGTAAGACTCATGTCTGGGATGGACTTGGCTGAATTCACATTGACTTTGAGACAAACAAGACTCTGAAAGTTCTTAGGCTGTCTGCAAAACCTGTAGCCAGGCACTGAACCATTTTCAAAGAAGTAGTAGTCTTTATAAGTGTTGCATATTTCAAAGAGTTCTGGGTGGGTCCTGGTTTGTGCTTGTGCCAGAAGCAGTGAGTAACTGGGACAAAAGGGTAAGCTTCAGGGAAGCCATTTTGGCACTTTGGCTCTTCTTCATTTTAAAGCATTATGAAATGGTGCATTTTCACTCATGTCAAGCAGTAGCAGATACGTTCTGATGAGCCTGACACGAGTGTTTATCCTCTCATAGGATCTAGCAAGGTTTTTCTTCTCCCAAAACTTGAGCTAAATTTCAGTTTGTAAAATTCAGTACTTGCTTGTTTTAAAGTATTCTTGAAATGCTCCGGTACATGACAGAAACATTCCACTTCCATTATTTTTGTAGTAAATGTTCTGAAATAAACATGATGTAAATGTTTAGCAGATACATTAGCACTTCATCTTAGCGGATCTGGCATAATCCTTTTATTCCCCAAAATAGAGTTTTTTTTTCTGTGTATGAAAGTACTACATGTTTGTTTAAAAACAAATCAATATTGACTTCTGACAGCTCTCAAAACAGCTGCCAAGAGTGCGCACTCTGTGCAGCTGCTTGTCATGCCTGTGGGCATTTCCTGCTCTGCCTATCTGAATTGCTACCAGCCTTCTAGCCATGTGCGCAGACTGAAAGGTGTGTGGGTACTACCAGCCTGCCAAGACAGTACCTAAAATTCAGCCAAAGTCTGGAGAACTCAAAACAGCTTTTGAGACTGAAAGAGAGACACCATGAACCTCAAAAGTCTCAGAATATAATTACGAATTCTGTGAATAATATTATATATCTTAAAGATATATTTTTAAAAAATGATTGAAAGCCAAGCTACTTGTCCTTAAGCACCTAATACAGTGCTGACTGGAAGAGGAGGCACTCAATAGATATTAACAAATACAATGAAATTTAATTATGGTTTGACCAGTATTTCTTGAAAAGTTCCAAAGGTTCTATCATCAGCTTCTTGAATATATTTAGTCTTGAATATCATGTCAGATAGAGTATTATAATTGTGGTTTATTTCTTTGAATAAGCTTTAAATATAATGGTGAGTAGGAATTATAAGTCAACTATAATAAAAAAGTAAAATTGACAGTGAAAAAAAAATCAAGTCAATAATAAAGTGTGGAAAGTGGCACATAATAAAGTGTGTGGCCGAGTGGCACATTGGTTAAGAGTTGACTTGGGACGCCAGCTCTGAGCAGCAGGGCCCCGGTTCAGATCCCACATGAGGGCCAGTGACGCTGTGCCCTCTACAGCTAAGATGGTGAACAACAGCTCGACCTGGAGCTGGGCTGCCGTGAGTCGCCAGTGATGGCGTAGGCTCTAGCCCCTGCTGCAGTGGGCTGCCATAAGCTACTGTGTTTGGCTGGCAGCCAGTGTGAGCTACCAAGGGCCGCCGTGAGTGGCCGTCCAATAACCGGCGACCAATTGCCTCAGCCGGGAAGAGCACAATGATAATACCAACATGGGCCAGTGGAGCGACGTCCTCCACAACTAGACTGAAGAACAAAAGGACAGCAACTTGTCTGTTCCCCTCCTCCAATTCCCCAATAAAATCTTAAAAAAAAGAAAGTGGCAGGTCCCCACTTCCTATAGTTGACCATTGTTTGGTATATTCCTCCAATCCCTCTCTCCCTCCTTCCCTCGCTCCATCTCTCCTCTTCCTTTTATGTTTTGTATTACAATATTTGTAGGTCTTGTTTTAATATATCTTTAAATTTTCCCCATCCTTTTTGTTTAAGCTTTTATTAGGGAATTGGGGGATGGGAACAGCGCTGGGAAATCAGAGGAAGGGAAGCAGACAAGTTGCTGTCCTTTTGTTCTTCAGTCTAGTTGTGGAGGACGTCGCTTCACTGGCCCATGGTGGCACCATCACTGCGCTCTTCCTGGATGAGGCAGATCGGCCGCCAGCCTCTGGACGTCCACTCACTGCGGCTCTTGGCAGCTCACACCAGCTGCCGGCCACACACGGTATCTTATGGCAGCCCCACTGCATCAGGGGCTGGAGCCTACGCCATTGCCGGCGACTCAGGGCAGCCCAGCTCCAGGTCGAGCTGTTGTTCAGCACCTTAGCTGTAGAGGGCGCAGCATCACTGGCTCTCATGTGGGATCTGAACCGGGGCTCTGCTGCTCAGAGCTGGTGTCCCAAGCCAGCTCTTAACTAATGCGCCATTTGGCTGGCCCTCTCCATACTTTTTATACATATATATATAAATATATACCACCAAAAATGATTGGTAAGAAAGACTGAATTATTTTAAAAGCAATTTCCCCATGTATAAGATGCACCCTTTTTTGAAAAATTTGGGGTCTAAAAACTAGGTGTGTCTTATACAGTGATTGTATGAGCACAAAAACAACCGTGAAAAAAGTGGGAAATGCAAGTAAAATATCTACAACCACTGTATAAGACACACCAGTTTTTAGACCCCAAAATTTTCAAAAAAGGGTGTGTCTTATACATGGGGAAATACAGTATATACTCACTGAAGAAAATTTGGAGAATATGATGTAAGGAAATAAGTAAAATCATTGTAACTTTCCTCCCCAAGATAATGGTTTTCGTGATTTTGTTATGTTTTTTTCTGTGTGTATAGGTGCACTTATAATATTTATTAAACTGTAATCATTGTATATTTCACCACCGCAGGTGCTCTGTCACCAAGGTTATTAAATATTTTGTATGCCCGGGACTGGGCATACCACCAGCAGCCAATATGTGGTCCTACACAAAACAATCTTGGAGTTTCTACTGTGGAGGCACCTCATGAATGGATTATAACAATCTCAGTCTTCTAGAAGTTTGTTTTTTTTTTAAAGATTTTTTTATTGGGGAATTGGGGGAGGGGAACAGTGCTGGCGAATCGAGGGAAGGGAAACAGACAAGTTGCTGTCCTTTTGTTCTTCAGTCTAGTTGTGGAGGATGTTGCTTCACTGGCCCAAGTTGGTACAGCCACTCACGGCAGCTCACACTGGCTTTCCGCCGCTCACGCTGGCTGCCGGCCACACACGGTAGCCCATGGCAACCCACTGCAGCAGGGGCTGCAGCCTACGCCGTTGCCGGCAACACATGGCATCCCAGCACCAGGACGAGCTGTTGTTCACCATCTTAGCTGTAGAGGGCAGTGTCACTGGCCCCCATGTGGGATCTGAACTGGGGCCCTGCTGCTCAGAGCTGGCGTCCCAAGCCAGGTCTTAACCAATGCGTCACTCGGCCGGCTGGAGTTTGGCTTTTTAAGAAATCACATAACTTTTTAAAATTTTGTTTCTACTGTGAGATGAAAGGGTGTATCTGGATTTGGGGTTGGGGAACAACAGTTTTCCTTATTCAGCATGATGTTTTAATTTGATAGACTATAGTGTATTAAGATGTTTTAAACTAAATTTTCAAATATACTCAAAAGTAGAGAGAATATTATAATGAATCCCTATATGCTTATCCCCATGTTTAAATATTATCAAGATTTTGCTGCATTTATCTTTGCTCTTTAAAGTTTTTCTTTTTCTCTTTGCTGAACTAAAGGAAATTTCATATGTCATTTTACTTCTGAAGTCTTAACTATTCATCTCTAAAACATGGCTGATTTCTTGTATAACTATAATGCATTATCATAACTACAAAGTTACTGAAAGTTCTTGATATCTTGTACCTAAATTTCTCTTCTTGGCTAAGGTTTTTAACATCTAAATTCAGTCAAGTGTTTGTATCCTGTAATGCTCTCATTGAAACAGCCATATTTCTTTTTCAGATTAGTGATGATGAACCTGGTTATGACCTAGATTTATTTTGTATACCTCGTCATTATGCTGAGGATTTGGAAAAGGTGTTTATTCCTCATGGACTAATTATGGACAGGTTAGTAAGATCTTAAATTGAAGTTTTTGGTTTTTTCTTACATTGATTTCAGTTGTCAGCAACTGTTTTAAGTAGTTGATATTTGATCATAAACTAGGCCAGCTTGTCAAATAATAGATGCTTTCTATTTTTAAAAAGTCCTCTACAAAAAAAAGAGGAGAGGGCTTACTAATTACCCAGTATAAGTCATGGTATACTGGGAATCTGTAAGGAGTAGAATAAAGTAAACACTGAAGGGAAATTGGAAGAATGAACTCTCATTACAGTCTCTGATTTCTCAAACCTGAACAGGGTAATGGGCTGGGGCTGAATCACATGAAGGCAAGGTCAGATTTTGATTATTATGTGCATCTAGTTTGAAATTTTCTCCTTAAATGAGTCACAGTGGAAAACTTTTCTTGATACTTAAATGCTTGCCTTGTGTGTCAGGTTATTTTGATTTTGATTTTAAAATTACAGTATCAATGCGTACGTATTGTGAAATATTCTAATTGTAGAGGCTATAAATAAGAGTAGAGTTATATTTTGTCAGCCTCCTGTGCACATTTCCTCCCTACCCACTGGCTATGCACATATGCTATATGCAAATATATCTTTTAACACATAGGTATGTACTATCAGATAGTTCTAAAATTTATTGGACATTTTTTCATATTAGTATATCCAGAGCTATCCCATATATTTTAAAGGTTGCATAGCATTCCATTTTCTGGCTGTACCATAGTTGATTTAACCAGTCCCCTATTGATGGACATGCAAGATCTCTTTTATTTTGCTTTTGCGGACCATACTAGAAGGAGACATCCTTTCATATACATTTGGGCACATGCTCAACTTTATCCATGTAGAAATTCTGGGTCAAGGAAAAAATATTTATTGAATGTTTTGATACTGCCAAATTATCCTCCATTATGTTATGTTGATTTATACTCTCAATGGTATATTAGAGGATTGTTTTCCTTGTAATCTCTTCAATATTTTATGAGGTATGATAAAAAAATACGGTGAATGTTTAAATTTAAAATGTATTTCAAAAAAATAAAAATAAAATGTACTACAGTAAAAGACTCATTGCCATTAACCCCCTCTCATGATTCTTCTCCTCGCTTCAAACACACTTATCCCATCATGCTGGCCACTTTCTGAAGCAGTTCTGGAAGTCCTCTTTCATGAGTATCTTTAGTTGCACTGTCGTGGCTGTCTTGATGTCCTGAATAAATTAAAAACATTTACTTTTAATGGTTATTTGACTTTGGTGAAGTGCCAGAAGTCGCATGGTACCAGATCCAGTGAATAAGTTGGATGAGGACAGACTGTAATGTTTTTTATTTGATAGAAATTGCCATGTACCAGAAGTGATGTGTGACATGGAGTGTTGTCATGATGGAGGATGATTTATGGCACACTTTAAAACACACCTTCTCTCAACAGTAGCTCACACCCAACTGACTGCACCGAACAAGTTGAAACTTGTCACACACTGTTTCTAAGGTTCGACACACCACTTCCCTTATTGAAGATCCCTGCCTTTCCATTGGATGGCACTTGGCAGCAGGACTCACTGTATTTTTTTATCATACCTCACATATTATTAGGGAAATTTCATTTAATCAGAATTTTGCAATCTGATATATGACATGGTATCTTACTTTAAATTGCATTTTAAAAATTTATGATAGATGTTATAGTGTACCTGGATTTTCAAGGTTTTTGTAATTTTTGTCTTTGCTTTATGAAGCAAAGATATACTTCATGGGGGCAAAGGGTGTGTTTTGTGGAAGTTTTAATATGTAAGGGATGTTTGTTGTAAAGTTTAAATGTATTTCTATTATAATATGAATTATTATAATTTCTATTAAATTCCTGATTTTATTTCTGTAGGACCGAACGGCTTGCTCGAGATGTGATGAAGGAGATGGGAGGCCATCACATCGTAGCCCTCTGCGTGCTCAAGGGGGGCTATAAATTTTTTGCTGACCTGCTGGATTACATCAAAGTCCTGAACAGAAATAGTGATAGATCCATTCCTATGACTGTAGATTTTATCAGACTGAAGAGCTACTGTGTAAGTATATTTAATGTGTTTAAAAAAACATATTGACGATAGGTTTTCATGCATGTTTTTGAAGTTCTGTAAGCTATACTTACATGATCATTTCACTTGGTTACAGTGAGATTTTTTAATATTGGGTTGTCGGAAAATCATGACATATTTTTCTATGTTTTTCATTGCAAAAATGTGTCATCACTTTTCCGATAACCCAATATATTCACCAATACTTTCTATCCAAGTGAATATTGTCTTTTTTAAACTAGTCACCTTGGAGGTTATATACTTACTTTAAAGGTTGGTTTTTTGTTGTTGTTGTTGTTTTTATTTTTTTAAACCCCTTTTAAGAATTTCTGTCAGGACTTGAGCGATACTTTTTTTTACTATACTTGCTGGCAGATATCTTCTCTGGAGCTAGATTGGTTTGCAGAGGAATAGTAAAGCATTTGGAGCTAGGTCTGATTAATAAGGTTGGTCAGTAGTTATTTCCTAGAAAGCACATATGGAGTGAGAGCATTGGCACCTTGAAGAAACCACTTTTGATTTACAGTCATTCTGCATGTATCACCATGATCTCAAGATCTCAAATGCTTCAGAATATTGACACTGGGATGAACCCAAATCAGTGTGATCTTTACACATGAATTTCGTCATCCAGAATTTCTTTGATCATGTGAATGTTTGATTTTTGTTACTTCATACTGTAGCTTTGTTTGTGGTTGCAAGTTGACAGTCTAGTTCCTGTGAGTTACCGTTTTCCTTTAAAAGGGATTTCGCCTTGCTTATTTATTTATTTACCACCCACCACCACCTCTCAAAGGTTAGAATAAATGCCCAGTCTTCGCTGTTTCATGAATCAGTATTGTAGTGTATCTTTGTAGAAACTTGCCTTATGTTTACATTTTCATTGAGAATAAGACCACTTATCTACATTTAACTTTCAACCTTCATTCTCTCGTTAATCATCTATTTGACCCAAGTCTTTGACTTCTTTCACATTTTCATCAGTCCAGTGGGTGATTGGACAACCATTTTAGTATTACAGACATTTTCCCTAACCCGTTAAAACCATTTATGTTCATACATCATGACATTACTTCGTACTTATAAGACCCTTTTAACTTGTGAAAGTCTTGTTGAATTAAAGACTTCTTTAAATACAAAATTTGAATTTTTACTCAATAGAAGTTTGTTTTTCCTCCCTTCCACCCTTCCTCCCTCCCTTATTTCACTGATTTACACTAAGATTTCATTTTAGTCAGTATAACTGCTAACAGTATAGCTGCCCAGTTTTTAATATATTATTGCTTCGAGTCAAAACATGTATTTACAATCCATAGTATGATTCTCTTTTTGATCCTCTTAAGCACCCTCCACATACACATAAAAATCAGTCTTGTTGCTTTATGATTGCTACTTCATTCCTCTGGGAATTTGGGCAGACTATTCTTTCTTTGAAAAGAAAGCTCATAAAAACAAATGTGGGGACTTTAATATTTTCTTTTAAAAAGTATTTTATAGTTGTAAGAGCAATTTGAAGCAAAGGAACACTTTGACATTTCAATTCCATTTTCTACTTTTAGTATTTTTTCCTTATTGGTTTTATAGATCTTAGAGGATGATTAAGCAGAACTCCTCAACTGATAAAAAGTGTGCAATCTTAAACATAAGCAAGTCAAATTTTTAGGTTAATTTTCACATATAGAAAAATTAATAACTTTTATTTTATTTATTTATTTATTTTAGCTGAGCCATCCTGCCACCTGTTGGCAGCTCCGCAGCAGCTCATCTCGGGCTGGGACTCGAACTGGCAACTCTTGAGTGAGCTCTTAACCAACTGAGCCACTTGGCCGGCATAACTTTTATTTTATGTGAAATTCTGTGTACATTTATTGCTAAACAATAGAAATTTTAAAAAAACCATCCATATACTTTAATATTTCAGCTTGTCATGGAAGGTAGTCACATGTAGATATAAAAAACCAGGCAACTTGGGCTGGCCAAGTGGCTCAGTTGGTTAAGAGTTGGCTTAAGAGCGCGAGCTCTGAGCAACTGGGCCACCGGTTCAATTCCCACATGGGCCAGTGGTGCTGCGCCCTAGCTGAGCTGTTGCTGAGCTGGCAACAGGTGGCAGAATGGCTCAGCTGGTGTAACAACAAGATTGCCTGTTCAATGGTGGGCTACACCCACCCGCAACTAAGACTGAACTCGGCACCTTGAGCCGAGCTGCCACTCGGATGGCTCAGTGGATAGAGTGTGCGCTCTTAACAACAAGGCTGCCAGTTCCACTCCCACATGGGATGGTGGCTATGTCCACCTGCAACTAAGATTATAACACAGCACCTTGAACTTAGAGGCCACAAACTGCCAACGGGCAGCCAGATGGTGACTGGCACCCTCCACAACGAAGATTGAAGAACAACAAGTTGGCTGGTCCCCTTCCCCAATTCCCCAACACTGTTCCCCTCCCCCAATTCCCCAATAAAATCTTAAAAAACCCC